ATGTTACCTACTTGATGCATTGCCTACCTTGTTAATTGTTTACCATCCTTGAAGATGATTTCATTTTACAAAGGCGTAGAATGCTTAGTATGCTTTATGGTAGGCTTTCAAAGTAAAAGTTTCGATACAATCAAAGATGGCATACTGGCCAAAGAAAGAAAGAAAGAAAGAAAGAAGATTGAACTAGAGACTAGTCGGGTGGCTTATCTTGAATGTTGGGTAATGTTGCCGACTATGTCGCTTAAAGGCCACTCATTGTGGATCTTCTGAACGAGACTTTGTAGTACTGGTCACATACTCCGGTAAGCCTACTTCGGCTAATTCGATACTAAGACGAATGCCCACGCACTGGGAGTGGTGAGATGGCGGGAGTAGCGTGTACCCTCGTGGCTTGAATGTGGCCGGATTTGAGACGTGCTGTGCTCTCAGGTGGCGTGGAGACGGCTTAGTACGGGAGAATCCGGTAGCGAGGTTGATATATGCAAGATTAAGTTCTACATATGTCGTGTGATAAGGAATCCCCAGCTGGGACTTGAATCAATTCGAATTGCCGGTGCTCCGTGGATATGGAGACTCGATTCATTACAGAAGCAATGTAGGATTGGTGAATTACTAAAACTTGAGAAAAGGAATGGAATGAGAAGGATTGGAACATGGGATATGAACACTTAGTTTGAGATAATGAACTAAAAGGACTTAGAGGTAAAAACTTGAAAGTAGGATCAAGAATAGTAAGCTTTTGGCAAAGAACTTTTGAATCTTGCTACATCTTTACCTTGTCCTAACACCTGCATCTCTAAAGTCCTTCATCCCTTTTTGGTCGGGTCAGTCTTGTTGAGTACTTTTGTACTCAGGGTTTGTTAACCCTTGTTGCAGGTGAGTCGCATGCGTAGGCTTGTTTTGGCCCCTGCTGCATGTCAGTGTTTGAAGTCGATGACGATGAGGAATGATGAATGGCCTTTGGACAAGGCACTAGTTTGTGTGAAATAAATAATGTTAATGTAATATTATCCCGCTACTATGGTTGTATGACACTTATGGTTATGTAAGTTTGAAACAACTGGTTTGTAATATTAAAACTTAAGTCTTTCGCTTTATAATCTCTGGTATGTATATTGAAAACTGTTGTAATCTGCAATGACTGTGATTGGGATCCTGTTTGAAAAAGATTTGTGGATGATTCGGGTTTCCCGAGGACACCCGACAGATCTGTTAAGTTGTTGGAAACTTGTGTACGCTATCTGAGGTCTGTTGAGACACCGATAGGTGCACGTGGGCCCGATTCCTTCGGAGGTTCTGCCACATCGGTTACTCCGTAGTGCTCGGATTCTTCGTGCTCGATGACTAAGTGGGCACACTTCACCGCACGGACGTCGCCGCCTACGTCGGGGACTCCTCGCTGCTCGAACGTTGCCAGCTGTGCCGGGAACTCCTCGGTGCTCGGACATCGCCGTCTACGCTGGGGACTCCTCAGTGCTCGGACATCGCCAGCGACGCCGGGGACTCCTTGCTCCTCGGTGCTCGAACATCGCCAGCTACGCCGGGAACTCCTCGGTGCTTGGACATCGCCGCCTACGCCGGGGACTCCTCGCTCCTCGGTGCTCGGACATCGCCAGCGATGTCGGGGACTCCTCCCTCCTCGGTGCTCGAACATCGCCAGCGAGGCTGGGGACTCCTCGCTTCTCGGTGCTCGGACATCGCCAGCTACACCGGGAACTCCTCGGTGCTTGGACATCGCCGCCTACGCCGGGGACTCCTCGGTGCTCGGACATCGCCAGCGAGGCCGGGGACTCCTCGCTGCTCGAACATTGCCAGCGACGTCGGGGACTCCTCGCTCCTCGGTGCTCGGACATCGCCAGCGACGCCGGAGACTCCTCGCTCCACAGTGCTCGGACATCACCAGCGACGCCGGGGACTCCTCGCTCCTCGGTGCTCGGACATCGCTAGCGACGCCGGGGACTCCTCGGTGCTCGGACATCACCAGCAACGTCGGGGACTCCTCGCTCCTCGTTGCTCGGACATCGCCAGCGACGTCAGGGACTCCTCGCTCCTCGGTGCTCGGACATCGGGTCTTGCTATGTCTCATCGATGTGCTATCAAGCTGCTCCATGCTGTTCAGATCAGGGTGCTGATCTTGGGCAGCACGTCAGGGGTCTTGATACGCGCATGTCGGACGATGTTGGCAAAGCTTTCAGACTTCTTTTTCTTTGACCCTGCTATAAGATTCATTCTTCATCTTCCAGCAGGCTCGGGGACTAAGTGGGCACACTTCACCTTGCGGTGAATATGCGCTTTTCTCATCTCGAGGCTACGCTCGGGGACTGGCTGTCTACTCGGCTGGTCTTCTACTTTCTGACCCTGGCACCACGTGACTACGTCACCTACTGTTAGGCTCGGGAACTAGCTGTGGGGGTATGGCCCCCGGTATCCCCAAGAAAAGACATGGGCCGCACCATCAGAGGTGGCCTGGCTCACAAGATCTAGGCGTGCATGGCGCTGCTCGGCGTGCACCGTAAGCTATTGTATAGTACCAAATATGATACTTTACTTGTAACCCTACCCCTACAGAGTATATAAGGAGAGGCAGGGGTCCCCTAGCGGACAGATCTATCTACTACATCTCAATACAATATACCAAAGACACATGACGTAGGGTATTAAATCGATCAGACGGCCCGAACCTGTCTAAATCGCTGTCTCTGCGCCTTATGTCACCATCTGGTTTCTGATTACGCGCACCTCCACCGACAAATCTACCATTGCGGGATACCCCTCGGTGGACTGTCGATGATATTCTGTCGACACTTCTAGAATAAAGTATGTATGTTTTACAACAATATTGTCTGATTTATTCGATTAGCACGTGATTTGGATTACGTGTGCTGCTTTTTCAATTCGATTTAGAGCTCTTTTTTATTCGATTTGGATATATTTAGCCGATTTTTCTTCTCATGCCCACTCCGAAGTCAACATGGAAACTAATAAGAAAAGAAAAAAGAGGCAGGGCCAGACCAAATAAAAAAGATATAGATTTGTGTTGGAGTAGAGACGTGGTAGGACATGCCTTCTGCTTCATGGTCTTATATAAAGTGTTAGTTAGGAAGGGCCAGACAAAAATAATGGTACCAAAAAAGAGGAGGAAATTTTACCTCTTTATTATTAGGAATAGATAAGGGGAAATTGGTGAACGATAATGCTAGCCTCGACGTCCATCGAACGGCCCAACTTCTCACCCAACTGGTGTCGGGGACCAATACTAGGGTACCCGAAGAGGAGAAGCTAATGGCCATCAAACATTGATTCATCCGAGCAGTCAAGAGCGCGACTACAGCTCTGCCCGACCCTAGGCACGCGGACTCCGCCTCGCCCGACCTCTGGGGGCGGGCTCCGCCTCGCCCGACCCTTAGGTTTGCACTTCGCCTCGCCCGACCCCTCGGGTTCGGGCTTCGCTTAGCCCGACTCCTCGGGTGAGGGCTCCGTCTCGTCCGATGGGGTGCCATACAGCCGCCAACCACTCCAGCACCAGACGTATAGGCCTGGGTCAAAACTTCGACACCAAGGAAGAGACTGGCACGCCCCGACATAACCCGTGGCCATGACGGGCCATACCTGAGGATTCACATCAAGAACAGCGTCGGGCGTGCCGGTGCTGCTCTGCCTAACCCTCGTACGAATGCTGACAGGCGCGTCAGTTCACCATGACGTCCGCCTGGACGGAATGGAGCGCCATGACCGACGAATGACGCCTGCGCATGGCGTCAGTGACGGATAGGGCCGCGACGTGGAGCCATCCCTGTTGACATCTACAGGGTTGGCGGGACCCGCGTGAAGGAGAAGAAGGACTCGGCGATCCTGTAAGCCTTCCTCTCTCTCTCTCGTTCTTCTTCTTTCCCTTCGCTGTAACCCGCGTTTTCCCTTGGGCTATAAAAGGGAAAGTAGGGCGCCCCATGAAAGGGACAGATCCAATCCGACCCGATCGATCCAGATCCACACAAGAATACGACACGAACACACGGCTGAGCATCGATCGAGCTCTCAGCACCCACTCACTCCTTCCATCGGAGACTTGGGATCATTTTCCTCTCTCGCCCGTTTGTAACCCCTACTACGAACCTTCAGTGCTAGTAATACGAGCAGCAGCGACGAATTGGACATAGGGACTTTTTGCCCGAACCAACATAAACCTTGTGTCCTCTAAGCACTCCATCCGAGCCAGACGCGCAATACTAGAAATTTACTCATCGGTGGTAACTCGAAACACCGACAGTTGGCGCATCAGGTAGGGGCCTTTTGCGTGTCTCGACGTCCACACCAGATCTCGGATGGCTAGTCACGACGTCAGCTAGGTCCCGGGCGTGCACGTGCGCTTCGGGAATCTAGACTTCATCGTCACGACGGAGAGAGAGTTGGCGTAGGCTCCCACCGCCGTCCAACCTCTCCACTCCGCCGGCCGCGTCGGGAGAGAGAGGAAAGGAAGAGGAGAAGAATCTGGAATGTGAAGCAGAAGCCAGCGTATATATTTGTTTGCCTGGATTACGACGAGAAGCTAGAGAAGCCGGTGAGGAGCTGAGGAGAGGCCGGAAAAGATAAAGAGAAGCTGCTTTCGGAGAATCCGATTCAACCGATCTAGACTGTTCATTTGAAGATCGGACGGCTGGGAATCATTAGGTGACGTGGACGGCGCTTCTTCCTGTCGAGAACCCGACGCAGTCTATAGAGTTTAATAATATGTATTATTTAAAGAAAAACAAAGGCCAAGTCCAGCTCGATATTTGCCCGAAGTTTTACGGGGACGACACGAACCTCGCTTGCGTTCATCTTCTCCCCCAAGAAAATTGAAGGAACCCGCAGCCACCGACCCGGCCGCAACAAGGCAACGCAAGCCTCCCTGAACTGACTTCATAAGTCATAGACGCACCCAATTCGACTCCCAGCACAGACAGAAAAGCCCTTCGCCGGACGCTCGCTCTCGCCGGCGGCGACTAAATCAGGAGGCCAGGATGGCCCGCTACGACCGCGCGATCACCGTGTTCTCCCCCGACGGCCACCTCTTCCAGGTCGAGTACGCCCTCGAGGCCGTCCGCAAGGGCAACGCCGCCGTCGGCGTCCGCGGCGTCGACACCGTCGTCCTCGGCGTCGAGAAGAAGTCCACCCCCAAGCTCCAGGACTCCAGGTCGGTACCTCCCCCCTCTCTCCCTCCCACCAGATCTCTTGATCCCCCGCCGCCGCCTCACCCGAACCCCCCTTCCCGCAAATCTCCGCAGGTCCGTGCGCAAGATCGCGAGCCTGGACACCCACATCGCGCTGGCGTGCGCGGGGCTCAAGGCCGACGCGCGCGTGCTCATCAACCGCGCCCGCGTCGAGTGCCAGAGCCACCGCCTCACCGTCGAGGACCCTGTCACCGTCGAGTACATCACGCGCTACATCGCCGGCCTGCAGCAGAAGTACACGCAGAGCGGAGGTGTGCGCCCCTTCGGCCTCTCCACGCTCATCGTCGGCTTCGACCCCTACACCGAGAAGCCCGCGCTGTACCAGACCGACCCCTCGGGGACCTTCTCCGCTTGGAAGGCCAACGCCACCGGCCGCAACTCCAACTCCATGCGCGAGTTTCTCGAGAAAAATTACAAGGAGACGTCCGGCAAGGAGACCATCAAGCTCGCCATCAGAGCACTCCTTGAGGTATATACTCAGCACTTAATTAGCACTGGTGGATCCAAACAGGCCCTTAATATCCTACAAGAGTGATTATTCATTATTCAGAGAAACATAGTACTTGGAAGAGTGTCAATTGAGAGTAATTAGCAAAGGATGAGAAAGATCAACTACTTATAAAAGTGATAATTTGTCACCTGTCACTTAACTGAACCAAATGATGTGCCGGTTCTGGACTAGAACCCAATGTATCAGTGGAGTGTTGAAATCCAGACTTTGTGTGTGCTCTGCCAGCCAAGTGTTTCATGTGTCATGGTTGATTGTTTATGAATAGTGGTATGATCAACTATAGATCCCAGATTAACCGACAGTTGGATCGAGTTCCATGGAATCTTTATAATCAGGTGGGATATAACAACATAGGTGAAACTAAATAAAGTTGGATAAAATTAGATTTACTGAACTTGCTTCACCATAGGACCTGTCTGGATTGGAGTTATTTCACTAGGAAGTTTCAGATCTAGTTAATCTGAACTAATTACTAAATTTTTCAATGATAATATCCTTATCCAAACATCCCCTTATTTCCTTATATTGTTCTGAAGACTGCAGAATACATGCTCATAGCTTTGGCATATTGTATTTGTTCTACACCTATTGTCTGGTTAGTGAAATTTGACGGACTCGTCGCATCTAATATGGTTTTCACCCACCTTATAATTCATAAGAAAGTTGTCAAAGGAATTTTTATGTAAGCTAATTTTTGTTCTTGGTTTCTGCTTTCTATATTGGAAATTGTTCAATTGACCCAAAGTTTTCGCCTTTGGGTCATGAAGCATTTGCCCCTCTAGCTGTTCTCCTATTTTCTGCTCGATTGTTAGAGTAAACCTTCAACTGTATTTGGTGGCACTGATTGACCATCCATAAAATCTCTAGGTTGTTGAGAGTGGCGGCAAGAACATAGAGATTGCAGTGATGACACACAAGGATGGCCTTCGTGAGCTCGAAGAGGCTGAGATCGATGAGTATGTCGCTGAGATTGAAGCAGAGAAGGCCGCTGCCGAGACTGCAAAGAAGGGCGTGCCAAAGGAGAACTGATTCAGCACAAGTTTAGATCACGCCTCTTGTTCTACAGCATGTCTTGTGATTCACTTCTTTTAGACGGATGCCCGGCTGTTTGGATACAGGGATATTTATAAAGTTTCAGATGAAGCCGCTTGGATGAAACTCATGCTATGTGATGCATAGTAGTGCATCAACCATGGCGGTGCGTTTGTGGCTTGTGTGACTGTTGTCGCAGTGGTCTGTTGGTCTGTCAGTATTATTTCCTGAAACCTGACAATGGTAGTCAGTTAAGAGACTTGTGTTGTGTAGTATTGTTGGTAGATTTGCAATCGAGGAGTCCTCGTGTTTCCTGAAACTGGGCCATGGAAGTTGGCGGGTCCAATCCAACAGCCCCATCGATCGCGTGCAGTGCGCAACCAGCATCTGATTCCATGAGGAGAGACGAGAGATGCGCGTGCGGTGTTCGGGCCTGGCCACCTGGCGCCCGGAGTTTAGGATTGGCCCATCGAGGTTTGGTGCGGGCCTGCATATCGTATTAGGGGCCGTTTGGATCACGGGATTTCCCTAGAAAATTTGAAGGAAACCAAAACAAAGAAAAGGAAACGAATATTGCTGTTTGGAACACAGGAAAGCACCCCTTCCTTTTCTATGGAATCCTGTAGCCTCTTCACAATTTCACAGGAATGAAAACATCCACTCCATGCGCTGGTTTTCTCCGCTTCGCGGAAGTCCGAGGCACGCTGCCGCTAACACAGTTGGAGAACGAGTGATTAGCCAGGACAAAATGCAATGCGAGCTTATTTCTATTCATATGTTTTTTATTCCTTTATTCCAAACAGACCATAGATATAGTAATTAGTACCCATATTTGTCTAACATGTTATAAATTTCTGTATTTCAAACCGCTTAAATTTTCTATTCCTGTGTTTTGAAATCCCGTAGTTTTTCACTTTTCATCGTACCTTATTCCTACGCTTTTTTCCTATTCCTGCGTTTTGGATTCCTTCGTTCCAAACATGCCTTCAGTACTAAGGGATTGGCCCGAAAAGCCGCTTTTTTTTCCTTTTTTTGAAAATAAAACAGAAAGCATGGTCCAGCGGATAACTTGGAGCCCGTTCGGCTGGCTTTAAGCTGGCTGGCTGGCTGGTTCTCGTTCTCACGAAATTACTGTTCACGTCATGTCAGAACAGTATTTTTCTCTCACAACAATCAGCCAGAACAGTATTTTTCAGTCCTGCCGAACAGGCTCTTGGACCCCGCCATGCCGCCACGTCGGTCTGGCCTGGCCGGTGTCGTTGCCACCCAGGCCACTCTCACCGAGCGATGACCGATGGGTATAATCCTAGAGCGAGGCCAATATAGAAAAACGGGAGCTTGGGAAAGATTGATTAGTAATAAGAAATGAAAATAGAAATGACATGAGCTTACCGTGCAATAAAGGAGCAAAAGGAGTTGTTCCATCCGTTTCAAAATAATGCCCTATTCTGCAGCACTACTTCAATAGTATTATTTAGCAAACGAACAATATTTTTTTCTCACAACAAATCAGCATAGCGCCCTCACAACAAATCAGCATAAGCTGAATTTCAGCGAATGTGAGAGAAAAACATTGTTCGCTCGCTGAAAAGTATTATTGAAGTAGTGTCGTAGTTTTTTCAATAAATTAGTCGAACTGATACCACGATAGGTTTTAGGGCAGTCCCAATGCTAAAAACTACATGCAGTTTCTATACCTATTAATTTACATAGACACTACGTATAGAAACCATGGTCTCAATCTACAGAACAATTTTTTATCTAATCATATACATTCTCTCTTCATTCTCTGTCAATCACATCCATTCATGTTTTGGTTCTTGTGTAGATATGGTTTCTAACTTAGATCCGGTTTCTATGTTTTTCTCTCTCTCTTTTAATAACTATCTTGCCACATCAGCAAAACAGCAAAACGCTTAGATGACAGTATAATTAATGTCCATATTGATGATTTCTACGTTACAAGTGCCCTTGTGCCATCACAAGCCGGAAAGTCACCCAACCCAAATCCCAAAGCGAGGAAAAGTGGAAAACAGAGCAGCCCCCACACAACGTAAGAAGCAGCTGTCTACATTTGGCCAATCAGGTTCCCCCGCCGCTGCTGCCGTGACGAAAACGGGGGTGGTGCGATATGCATGAGCATGATGCAATGTAACAATCATATGGCAGCCCGAGCGCGCCCACCCAATCCAGGCAAAACGGTAATAAAGCCAGGGAAGGCACGCCCCGGGTAGGACGGAATGGGACTTTTTTGGATTAATTAATCCTTGCTACCTGACCCCTGTTGCTCTTTGGTTTCCTTCCCCATCCCGTTTTCTCGCTGCTGCACGGCGCTCGCTCGCACAGCGAGGCCAGGGCTGGCCCCTCGCGTGGACATCAAATTTGACCCGTGCCACAATTAGCGCTGGGTCACGCCCAGACAAAGTGCCGAGTTATTAGTTTCCAAACGAGGCCCAAGGATAAGAACCATCGGGCTCCGGGGGGCCAGACGTGGCCGAACAGGGCCCACGACGACCAGCCAAGCCAACAACCAATGTGCAGTCACTTGGGCCCGCCCGACCGCCCGCTAGGATGGATAACATAGCAAGGAGACGACGACACAGAAAGGGAAAGTGCAACAGGTTTCGTACCACCACAATCACCAGGCCGCGCTACCTAATCCACCTCGTCGCGTCTGGCCTGCCCTGTGATTGGGCGCATGGTGGTGACAACAAACACTGTCAGTGTCAGCCTCAACCTCGCTCGCCAACAAATCGTGCATCAGGATTCAGGAGGACTGTTCTGTCGATCTCATCCTTCCTGCTGCGCAACAGACTCACACAGGTCACGTAATTGTACACATAATATACTATGGTTATAGAAAAGAAAAAATCTAGATTCGTGTTTTGTCAGAAACCCAAGCTTGGCCTCTCTATCTCTCTTGCCCATTTAGACATGTCAGGGATCAGATTCAGATCTATCTATCTATCTATCTACCTATCTATCTATCTATCTATCTATCTATCATCATCATCATCATCTATGTGCAGATTGTTTGATGCGACGGCTGCTGCTGTGGTTTGATGACAGTCATAAGCAAGATGTTAATCTGACAGAAAGAAAGGAAGCGCAGGCACCAGAAAATAAAACAAAACGTCTCTTACCACACACAGGATGCAGATGTGATGAGGATGGAAACGACGGCAGCCGCGGGAGAGAGCCAAGCCTTTACGGCGGCGGTGATAAGCTAGGCGGAGATAAGCTTGCAGGTCACTTTCCTGTTTCCTCCCCTAGCTAATCCAGTAATCCCTGTCCCTGCCGCCGTTTTACTCGCTCGGTCACTCCAGCCAGCCAACCAACCTGAGAGGATAAGAGGAAGCGGCGAGCTCGCTCACCTACTTGGGCGTGCGTGCGTGCGCATCGTGATAAATAAATACAACCTCTGTGGTGATCAGCGGTAAATTCTTAGCTTAGATAAGGGGACCCGCATGTAGTGGCGGTCATGGCACCGTCGCGACATGTCCACTGATGTCGAAGTAGAAATAGTATCGTAGTGGGGCACGGTCCAGTAACGACACCGATGGATCTTCCTGTCGCTCACAGCACTTCTCTCTTGATCGGACTAGGGTTAGACTCGGTGGAGAACTGGCGGCAGCAGTGAACCTTGTACCTTACGCCCTGGCCCCCACCTTTCTCTTTATAGTGCTGCGCGACGGGGGCCCATCAGTCAGGAGAACGACTGGACGCCCCCGATCAAGGCGCGGATCAAGGACCCATTTAGCCATTTGGTCAATTTTATGGAGATTAATCTAACATTCTCCTCCTTGATCTCACCTTATGAGTTAAACTTAATTTACTTTATCTTTTTTCCATTCCATCACATATCAGTGCATAGAGCGTGCTTCATCGTCATGGTCAGTTGTCATTAGATTAAACAGCTACAATGCACCTCTCTGTTTTGAAATAGATTCTCAACTAGGCCCTTAGTATCCAGAAATTATAGGCTTTTCCGTAAACCCATATTGACTGTGTGTTCTCTGAACGCACTGGGTGGTTAGTCTTTGATAAGCGGATCCGTAAGTACTTGCTTGGTACTTATATGCTCAATGTTTTCAAAATGATTCTGGATTTTCTCCTTTACAACATATAACTTAATGTCAATGTTTTTGACAACACACTTGACCTGTTGTCTTAGGAGTTAACTATTTTAAATGGTTATTGCTGTACTACCATTGTTAAATCCGGATACATATTTCCTTAACCACTTTTGCCTGTTCCTGAGGTCTCATGACAAGCTATATTATGGTATGCATCATTGATGACACCACAACTGTTTCATTAGAGCTTTTTCATAATAATACTCAAACTGCGAGTGTTAGCAACTACTGTGGATTTTATTATACATCTCGCAAAAACTTAACATTTGTACCCATAACTATTTGAGAGTATTTGTTCTTTCTTATTCAGCATGAGACCTATGATACTTTGCAAAAATTGCAAGACATTCTTAACTCCATTCCATTGATCTATATCTGGACTGGAGTTCTGCCAAAATATCCCGGATACGTAAGCTACGTCAGGATAAGTTCTTACTTGTACATTCATTAAGCTTTCAACAGCTGAAGCATATAGAACCATGTTCATTTGATCGATCTCATATCGGTTCCTGTAACACTGAAAGTTCCTAAATCTATTACCCTCGACTATAGGAGCAGGCGTAGGTTTACTCACATGCATATTTTATTTCTTTAGAATCTTTTTAAGTATGTCTTTGCGATAGTCCTAATACCCCTTTTTATCTATCTCGGTGAATTTTAATTACTAGAACCAATGAGGCTTTACCAAGATCATTCACATTGAAACTTGAGGACAAAGACTTATTCTTCTCCAATGGCAGATTAACATTACTACTAGTGAGTAGTATGTCATCTATATAAAGGATGTGGAAAAAGAATTTTCCATTCTTGAACTTCGCATAAACGCTATTGTTCTTCTCATTTTCTTTAAACCCAAACTTT